GTCTGGATGAAACTGTCTGGATTAGCTCCTACCATCTACTCTGAATGGGGTCTAATTGAGCTACTTGAGTGCTCTAGCGCTCTTTGGCTGCCAGACCGATGAGTTTCCACTCCTTGTTCCTCCATATGGTTTGGGATTGGGATATGAATTGGCATGGCAACTGTCATAGCTATCCTCGTATACAAGAGAAAAGCTTGGATCAAACCTCTTTGGCAGTTTCAACTCAGTTTTTTAATGTGGAGTAAGGTTGGCATCTTTGGGCATAATATTATACAGACACTATAACTTTTTGTCCAACATTCTAAAATATTGAAAATTCAGTTTCAAAAGGCTGTGCGGCAAATATTTTAAAGCTTAGATTTGAGTTATTTCTCAGGTTGATGGAGCATATACAAGTTAATTTCATTCATTCATGAATACTTTCTATATTCCATCACAACCATTCACTAGCGAACTAATGAACTAATTAGGCTGTTAATTACTTCACATCTTAATGATTCGATTTTATTTAACTAAGTTTAATCAACTTTCACATGTTTAAATTGAACAGAGATTTTTAAAATTAGGTTTTTCATTTATCTCACCTCAGGCAGCCCTATTTTTCCGTCGATTACAGCAACTGTTACACGCTAGAAAGTGAATATCTGCACTCGTTTTGCTTTACGAATACATGACTAAGTAATGATGGGAATATTTGAATGTGCATTTAACATTGATATTACCGTGACTACGCTAAACGTGCGAGGGATTGCCTGAGTTAAGATAAACGACTGTAAATGCTTATCAAACAAATTCTTACTTTGAAGAGATTGGTGCCCTTTGGAATGAATTATCAGTTATGGTTCCCCAAGTCTTAGCGACGAAGTAGTGGCCTAAATCAAAATGACCTCTTAAATCCAAGATCAAACACAGGGTTTAGGCTGATATCGCATGAAAATGCAAGGGAACGTAGCGCAAAACATATTAAAGCAAAAAATGTTGGAATTTGGCTTCAATATTCATACCCATCTAGCATACTCTTAAGGCATCTTGTTAATAGCATATTGTTAATTCGGCAAGTTGAATGATTTCATGCGTGATCTACTGCTCTAACGAATAAGTAGTGCCGATGAGTTACATGGTGCTTCTCCTGAAATATATTAACCTTGAATGTTTAGATAAAAGGCGCAAATATTTCCGAAACAGTCTGATGAATATCCAAGGAGTACCTATTTAATTGTAGCCAAATTTATGCAATGATGAGTACTATTGGTGGCAACTTAATAAAGCTAGAACCGTTAGATATTGCTGCTTCTGAGCCAAAAGCAGGCCAACTCTCCTGTCAAGTTAAAAGCAGGTCCAAATCAACGCACTTGCACTAAAAATTATCATGAAGACTTAAGAAAGTGAGCCTATCCTGCACACATAGCAATATTTTTAGAGATCCTTCATAAAAATAGCTTACTGGCTTTTTTCTGCTTACCTGAGTGAAGTAGTGGGTGTCATGAATTTTAGCTTCATATGAAATAGCGTGATCGTCTAATTATGATAGCGTAGAAAGGATTTGAATAAATTACTTTCTTAATACGTTTATTCCTCTAAGGCAGAATTTACATTGGGATTTATTAATTAATCTTACATAATGATATTTATGTATGGGAAAAATATAAATAAAACATTTTAAGATAGAGATAACAATTGAAAAAGAAGGAGAATTATTCTTCCTAACGGAAGATTGTACTGCTGCTTGTATCACACAAATGGTTACTCGGGCCACCGTGAGTTGTTGGAATTTTCAGTCAGGAATAATGCATACCCTTTGCCAAATCGAGATTCGAAGAGAGAGGACTCCCGAAACTATATCCACATTTTATCAAGTATTCCTAATAAACTCCTATAACTTAAGATGAATTTCATCTAAAAGTTTGCACATATTTCACGAATAGACAACAAGGAATATGTGTACACAGCTTGCGATCGGTATGTAAGGAAAATAATTCATAAGGGAGTAAAAAGCCGATATCGCATCATGTGAGAATGTCCAAAAAGTAGCCCTACACTATCTTCCTCGGAATGCTACTTACGAATGACTTTTACACATGAATTTTTGTGCTTTCTAATGCACACCCTAACATATCCATATACATCGTATTTCGAGCACGGTGCATTCTGCTGAGTTTTTCTCTGCCTTATGACAGATAGCTCCACACCGAGAGGTCGTTTTTGTACTCATTACGCTCCAAAATCAGGCTCTTTTAACTGCCTTTTCTTAATTTGAGACTAGAGAGTTTTCAGTTGAAAAGAGAAGTCTCATTATTAAGAAAACGGTCACAGAATTGCTCATTCAAAACGACACTCTAGTCGTGCAATGTATTACTTGAACCTGACCAATATACGACTTATTACAATAAAATCAGATAAGAATACTTCGTTAGGTTTTGTCTCTGGTCACGACAATCAGTGACCTAAGTGCTCTCGATATGAATCTTTATTTTGAGGTTTTATAGGAAATCACGCTATTCAACGGTTTTAGTTGGCATTTAAATTTGCTACGCCACACATTTAAAAAGGCTGTTCTCATCTTGGCTGGATCGCAATCTCGACTTTGCCTCGTCGTCTCGCCTGTAGCCTCTGCGGAACTCGAACTTTGGATATGCAAGCTCTAAAGAAAACAAGTTACCGTATCAGCTAGACGCTTACCATCGAGGTTAGTTAGATGAATAGACAAATCAGGCCTCTCAACTAGCTTTTTCTGTAAGGTCATGTGTTTCGTCAAGCGAATCTGTATTAGCAACCAGGCGCTATGTGTCTTTTGGTATTCATTCTGATCACCGATTGTAGGATCGATCATCCTCACTTATTAAAAGACACTATTCTCACTTCAATCGACAACTTCATACTTATAGATAATGATAATTATATTAGGCCTAAACGATGATGAATACGTATAGAGGCTCATTAACGCGAAAATGGAATATTTTTATTTGAATTTAGTGTAACCGTATTTTTGAAACTTGATGATGTTTACTGGAAAACTACGAAAATCGTACCAATTATTGCATCTCCTGCCAATTTTGCCAAGTAATCTTTCAGTTTGAGACTAAAACTAGGTAAAAATTAATTTTATTATGAAGAAAGAGGAATTCGACTGAATTAACAGTCACGCCATTTTAGTTGTCATGTATATATATCTCATATTTTGTTTATTTGAACACGATTTTTAATTGGGATCCGCACAAGCAAATAAATTAGTAACGAATTCTCTATGGGCTTGCTTATTATAGTGCCTCTCCCGGTTTTTAATTGAAACAAAGCCCTTTATGAAATGCATAATTTAAGAGTGGAACGGCTTGAAATAGTGAGGCTAAAAGATTGATCGATTTGAATCGTTAATTTCGTTCTACTCTATTCCAAAATTATATTCCTCCCAATCCTGGACTGTGGCTTTGACCTGTCTATTTCTCTTCGGAATCTCAAACTGGAATGAAGTCTAGGACTTTCATGGCACACAACCATTGCATGGTCTTCACGAGAAGGTCTGTCTTTACTAATTCGCATTCAAAGTGGGTGAATAAGCATTTTACACCCAGCTATAAACAGTGTTATGTGGTAATAATTATGCTATTTTAAGGGATATTTGTAGAATAAAATAAGTGAGCCTAGAGCTCTCTGGTCTGCCTTTAGACCCACCCTTGACTCCTTAATTAAGGTCTATTAGCGCCGTCGGATTATGAAACAATACTAACTCTGGTAGTGCTAACGATAGAGTAGGTCAAATCTGCACTACTATGATACATTGCAGAGTGTAATAACTGTGAAGAGTTTTCTTCACTTTATAAAGCCAAATATTCGGTTAAACAATGCCCTATCTCCTCACTCTTGTGATTGTACTGGTGGTTTAACATAGAATCATTCAAATACTAACTCGAATCGCCTTAGGTCACTCAAAAGTATGTAG